ATTCATGAATTATTAAGTTTTTTTTGGATATTTTCATGAGCATTACTAATAAGCAAAATGAGACTCACCAGGACAAGATAATGTAGATTCGGACAGCTCTTGAGAAAGATTGGCAAATTGTCCAAAGAAGATTCAAGGAATGAAGTATGCAAACGATACAAGTTAGCGAATTGAGGTAGCGGAAAGAAGCAGTGCTCGTATATGACCTGCGTCGCAAGAAAGAAATAAAGAGAACAACTGGTTTAGTCATAGTTAAAACTGTATAAAGCTTAATGTAAATTACCATGTGTGTATATACCTCTAGAGTTGCAGCAGAGATGATCATGTTGCGAACATGGGATATCGCGGTGAGAAATTTAGAGACCATTAATCTTCTGCTACACTCATATAGGTCAAAAGGACGACCTATTGGCCTCAGAATGTCAATATCATCAAAGATAACATCAATATACGCCTTTGGAGATGGACCAATACTGTGTATTATGAAAACTTCAGAGAAGTGATCACTGAGAGTCATGTACTCAAGGTTTGGGGCATCTATTACAACAGCAGGGAGCAAACACAAACGTTCAAAACGCGTAGACATTAGTCTAAAGCTTTTTAGTGACTTGGAGCTCACGGTTACAGTTTCTAGCGAATCATTCCGATCTCTGATTATGGTTAGCTCTTGGAGAGACTCACAGCTTGAGATGAGGGTCTTAAGAGTCGAATCATCGGCATAACGAACCATCTCTAGATGCATAATTTTGAGACAAGGTAGCGAAAAAGATTTATGATAACCATCCAAGACAAGGCGACAAAGTGCTAAACTGACCAATGTGTCACACGAATAAGGCGAAAGAGGCATCCTCACTTGATCGTTCTGAACAGCTAGATGGCGAACTTTACGCCTAATCGCAGCATTTTTCCAAGACTCAAAAACTGATTCTTCATGGTGGTGATTGATCAGCTTGAATCTCTTCAAGTCTAGCTCTTTGTTAGACTCCAGAAACTTATCTATGAAATATTTTAAGACATCCTTATCGTCTTGGAATTGATTGGAGTCCAAGTCTAGTCCAGGAACATGTAACCATAGACTTCTCCAACGTTTCGATAAAACGCTAGTTTGAATCGAATCCTTTGTAGAGGGCTCAGAGAGTATCTGACTTAACAACTCATCAGGTAAATCACTTAACCTATCTTCCCCTGAGCCTTCGGATTTTCTTCGCTTCTCTTTGTCCATGATTTAAACTAAACCCTAAAATTTCACACAAAACTAATCTGAAACTCATTCTCTCCCTGTACGAACCGACGCGAAGAAATACTACTTCGAAGGGCTTGGACTGGGGGAAAAAGCCAAAAGGCCTGGACTGGACTTAGGGTTTCTTAGTTTTTCCAATTTCTTGTCATGCAAGTAATAATGAAAGTAAAGAAGAAGTATCATTCCAGTAAAGGCGATATGCACAAGAAAAAAAAAAAAAGACAACGGCTTGTATGTTCCCAGTGTATCTACACGATAACCAAATTACATAATGTTTGATCTTAAAAAGTTTAAAGATCTATAGTGATATCAATTGGAGAATTGCCTTTGTCAACGTCAA